TCAACCGCTTAACTGATTGGAAGGCCTGCATGATGACGTGAACGGGGGTCCGTAGCTTAGCGTGTGACTGCGGTCACAAAGATTCCTTCCTCTGCCCAGCTGCCTAAGTGTCACAAGAAAGTAGGGCTCTCGAGTGCATTTTGCATTGTGAAATGAAAATGCATCTGCCACTGCAGCCGCTGTAATTTTTGCTGTTTTCGGAGATCTTTAGAAGTCACCGCATTGGAATGAGTTGCAGTAAATCCCCACTGAGGCTGAATTAAACTGAGAACATGGAGAGAGGAGAGGGACATGTCACTGTACCCAGCGGGTTTTTCAAAACGGAGCCCACAAGTGTAAGTGTGATCCTTGTGTCATGCAAGTGGGAAATGCTTATTGTATAGTACCCAATGTTAGACTGCAACGTTTTTATTATTTGCATATGATCTGCACAGATGCTGTGGTTTAAGCAGCCTTCGATAGAGAGATTTGTATTCTGTAGGCAAATCAGCGTGATTGGGCATACTGCCAAATTTCCCGTATGTAAAACAGTCATGTGACTGTTTTTGGATTGCACCCAGGAACTCTCCAAAATTATAATCTGTTCCTTCTCATAATAGCCTAGGAGCATGTCCTCTGTGATATTTTCCAAATTATTGTGAGATCAAGGTAACGACATAACAAATGCTTGGTAATACATTCATGATGTACTGCTTACATTGAGTGTGTATTGGTTGACATGTATTCATAAAATAGCATGAGGGTAGATCATTTTGGATTCATGCACATTTTGTAAAAAAAAATCTCTAATCGTTGTAATGCATAAGACAGTACAAACAAGCCAGAGCAGCGAAAATAATGCAATTCAAATGATAGATGTCCATATGAGATGGACGATAGACGAAGCAAGTAAGACGGACCAATATCTTTACCCCCGCGTAGGTATATATACCTACACACCATCCATACAACAGAGGAAGTATTATCTATTGAATCTGTAGTTGTATCTACTGACTGTACAGTAGTAGCTACTGACTAGTAGCTACTGACCGTAGTAGTATCTAATGGCCCTACAGTAGTATCTACAGACTCTATAGTAGTAACTATTAACTGTATAGTAGTATCTGCTGACTCTATAGTAATATCTACTGACTCGCAGTATTTACGGACCGTAGTGGTATATTCTGGCTAGTTTGCCCAGCCGGCCGAGGTGGCACCTTGGCAGGCTGGGGGCTGGGCCACTACCCTCCCCACTATCCTCTTGCCTGTGCTACAATAATACTATCTAAGTGCTATCATATTAGTCTCTACCTACCCTATAGTAGTAAGTGCACACATTGGGGTGGGGGGGGGAGAAGAGGACATGACACTTTGATGAATTTACCTCAACGTTGTGTGTATTTTTTTGCATTTTGAACCCGAATGAGAAATCCCCCTCCACTGATGACGCGTGTGCATTGCGAGGGGCAACCCCCAGGCAGCTTTAGCGCTCGCGTAGCAGCGCGATGAAATGAAAAAAAAAATAGCACAAATTGTTAATTTAACTACTATAAAGTTTACGGATGGGAAAACGGAATAGCGCTGGCTCACCACGGGGCTTACGGCGTAGTACCTGGCTACTTTTTAAAAACGTAAACCCGACAGGTTGCGAGCCAAATCTTTCGCAAGTTGCGTCCACAGACGGACAGACACGGACTAAGAATGCCTTTCATAGGTAAGAAGATAGAGTATATGCGACAATAAATAAAACGGGCAGAATGAGACCTGTACAAATGCGACAGGTATTCCAGTAATAATATAGCCCATTTGTAACTTGTACACTTCTCTCTGTGAACAAACTCATGTTCGATGCCAAGGCAGGCTCGGGGTTCTCCATAATATGCTTGTCTTCAGCTGCTTCTCAAGTGGAAGGCACTTGGATTTTGCATGTCTGTGCAGTGGGGATAACGTTCCAGATGACAGGTGTGGCCACAGAGTAACGCCACCCGGCCGAGACAGTCCTGCATCTGGGGATGCGAGCACGCTGGGGAACGAAAGCTGTGGATGAGTGCACTAATGCAGAGTAAGGAACAAGACTGCAAACAGCAGACGGTGCAGATGAGAATTAGACAAATGGTACAATTGAGAAGTACAACCAAGACAAGAGGTTTTTTTTTTATTAAGTCGTGACTCCAAATGTTGATTATTAAATTGTACATGTTATGAGTAGAAAGGTTTCCGCACGGTTTAATGTGTACACTAACATATGTTAATGCATGACACGGTTATCCCGTAATGCTTGAAACCATGCAGCGGTTAGACTTAAACGGATGCAAGCAGTAACTTGATGCGGTTGAAATGCTATTGGAACTACTTGAGCTACCTTAACCGCAAAACTACTTTACATATCATGCTGGAAAATTCTACCTTTATTTGAGCATCATTTGAGGCCACTTTTATATGATTAGGTAACTATTTGTATTGCCATGTATTTAATGTGCCTGTTGCCATTTATCAATTGGATTTTTTTTCGATCCGAGGTATAAATGGAAGTGCCATAAATAGATTTGGGCGTCTTTGGAGATGAATATCAGTGGAAAAAATACTGCCTTTCAGTGTTGCCATTGGGAAAAATACAGGGTGTTTCAAAAAGATGGACCCAATTTCAAAGCAGTATATTTCACGATGGCAACATGATACAATTACACAAAAAGTTAGCAACGGTTTAACGAGTTATCAAGTTTTACTAACCATTTTATAAATGCTCTATGTGCCCTCCACCTGCTGTATGGACAACATCGAGACGATTGTTGAATTCTTCCCAAACGCCTCTCAGTGTCTTCTTCCACTGAAGTCACCGCTGCCGTGATTCTGTTTTTAAGGTCATCCAGATTAGTCGCTAATGGTGGCACAAAACACGGTCTTTGACGTATCCCCACAAGAAAAAGTCGCAGGGTTTGATGTCTGGGGATCGTGGGGGCCCAAGAGTGTAGCGCCAAGTCTTGGGGTCCCGTGCGACATATCCAACGTTGAGGCAGTGTTGTCTTGAGAATGACTGAGGCTTTAGGGGCTGTTTGTGCGCTGGGAGAGGCATCTAGCGGTCATCATTTGCAATTCTATGCCCCGCCCTTTCAAGTGGTAAGAGTTTCATTCATGGGCTGGTTCGTGGTTGCAGAGATATAGGATTTCAAATCGGGTTTATCTTTTTGAAACGCCCTGTGTGTAACAAGTTGTGTTTTTGTTCACTTGTTATTGTTTCAGTGGCTGGTTCATTCACAATGAATAGCACATTTTAGTGGGTTTTTGTGTTTGGTTTTATATTTCGTAGTGGTTATTAAAAGTGTGTGCAAGTTTGAATGCTTTATCTACTCGTTTAGATAAAAAAATATTTGTAGCTTTGTAACATACAAATATAGTTGGGCAGACTCTCTGTCAACAGCTGTTGCTCAATTTAAGCCTACTCTGTTTTCTATGTTTTCTGTTAAAGTAAAAAAAAATCGTTAGGCATTATTCGACCATTGAGCAAGGATCAGTTCTGCAATTCTAAAAAGTGGTCAACTTGACCAATCTTGTAAGGCTGAAGAACTCTTGACTACCATGTTTGTGAGTCGAATAATTTGCCAGAGAATGGGCGTATGTTGGTGGTTAGCGCACTGCGCTATGAACCTGCTGACCCATATTTTATCCTGGCCATATATAACATCGATAATTAGCGATACACCCCCCCCCCACCAAACGACTTCACCAACCCACATTTACCATAGGTGGTGCGCAATTGTCTTTCAAATACCAGGACCGACGTGGGGAATAATTCATCTAGCAGTGGATTTTTTGTTTTGCTATATTAAACACATGTACTCACCTGAAGTACCACCTTGCTCTAATTTCTGTTTAATAAAAAGCAGTGTTCACAACATTGGTGGGCAAGCTGTTTACAACTGCGCTTGTACACAACTCCTGACATATTTACTTGCATTGTATCTTGTAAACCAGGCTGTTTGCAGTATATGCTTAGCAATCTTGATTTGATTCAGTATCTTAAAAACATAGGGTCTAGTTTTCCTTTCAGACATAGCTGCATCTAAAGTGATCACTTGCCTGCACAATGAGAGTGCGCTTTCTCCTTTGTCTAAAGTGCCTTTTAAGATTGTACTTGCATTTAGAGATCTACCAAACAGCACTCATGGCAATCCCATTTTTTATTCTAGCATATTTAATGCACTGTATTTAAGCCATAATTTTCTCCGTAGCCCAACTAGCTGCAAATTTGAGATACTCCTTGCTCCAATTGACAGTAAAAGTAACCCCTGCAATAATTGTTGTTATAAATGAACCTATTTTGTTTTATTCTGGCTCGATGGGTGGTTCCCCCCACCCCTCCTCGATGTTCTCCATTGCTGACGACGCTCCTCTTGTCCTGCCCCCCCCCCTCCCCACAGTTCTGTGGCGTTCTTGGTGTCACATTTATGGAGTTTGTGAAGGCACGTGGCGACTACTGCCAGGCGCAGCACGGACTCCTTGCTGACAAGTGAACTTGTGTGGTGGAGAAACTGTACTATTCTATCACCAAACCCCCATAGCCCCCCAGGAGTGTACACGCGAATCTCCGCTCTTCCGAATTGTTTTGCAACTTCTCCGTGTACCAGCGTGTGCAAGAGAAGACCCTCTGCATCACCCCCTCTATAAATCCAGATGGGGTAAACTGTGTTGTGGACTCTACAGTCATTCCCTCCAGTAGAGAGCATTGATTGTGTTTTTTAATATTCATTTATTATTGTTATCATTGTCATCGCATAACACAAATAATAATAATTATTATTATTTATAAATATATTTATTTTAAGGTATTTTTTTTCTCCTCCGTTTTTACGTCCAAGCGGAAGTTGACGAGTGGGAAATCGTGTGGACAATTGAGTGAATTCTCAACATTTGCACAACTTTTGGAGAAAATTAAACTTAAAAGGTTGAATAATATAAAATATATCAATATTAATAATAATAATTAAAAGTAATAATTACAGAGCACAAGTGCAAATAGCAACCTGATAATCGTCATTGCTGCTAATTGTAACTTCAAGTTGCCTCAAGTGAATCCGCTGGAAGAAATGGCACGAATGAATCGCCCAGGGGCCGTGGAAGTTACCTACAAGCACATGCGCTTCCTCATCACCCATAATCCGACCAATGTCACCCTCAACAAGTTCATCGAAGTAAGTACCTTAGGCTGCCGTGCATTACATGGACTTGCTTGAGACTTTAATCCCCGCACTCCCAACGTAATCGTGGCACAAATAGAGAATCTTGGGAGAAATGCCGCGCTCGCCGTACAATGTTGCACGTTTGCCCGATCTGAGCAACAGTGATGCGTGTGTGGGTTTTGTAAAATAAGTAGCATTCTGTGTAAAGTTAATGGTGATTTTAATAGGGACACTGGCCTTTTAATGGAGAAATAAACGTTGCAGTTGCTATCATGTTGCTATAAAATGTTACCAAATTCCCAAAGAGTTTTTTAGTTGATTTGGATGGCACACTGGGTTTAACCCTTGATCGCATAACAAGGTCTAGCACCTCTGATTACAATATTAGCCTATTGATTGATTCATTAACATTCCTTTAAAATCTTGATTTGAAGCTTTCGTGACTGCAGGAATCCATTCTCTTTGGTTCTTTCGGTAAAGTCACGTAGTTCGAAATAAAATAAAACAAATAACAATTTGTTTTATTTTAAGAGGGTTGACTTGGGGCTAAAGTCCCTAATATGATGTGCTTTGGAATGACCCAGCCACATTTAACTAATGTTTTTCTTATTTATTTTCTGTCACAGGAACTTAAGAAATATAATGTGACCACTGTGGTGAGAGTTTGTGAAGTGACCTATGACAAGAGCCCTGTGGAACAGCAAGGCATCAGTGTCTTTGTGAGTGTTTATATACACGGATGGCTTAGTCATAATTCACATAACTTGTATTTTCAGTATAACCTCACTTGCTGATCTTGTACCTGTAAAATAATATCACTTTGTTTTTTGAGGTTCAGCTAGATTTTTCTTTCCATTTACTTGTTCCAAGTTTCCAATGTAATGTTATCAGAGCACACGTATTTTTTGTGATGCCTTGTTTGGGAGTGGCATATTTTTTTATATGCTGTGAAGAAGCGCCATTGCTCCAAACGACACCTTTATATTTTAAAAAGCTTTTTGTTAACAGCACAGTAATGTAGCCCATTACTTGATATTATAAATGAGCACCCAGGAACCATTTTTGGATTTAATTTTGATGCACATACAGGTTACATGTTCCCATTACAGCGAGAGAAAAGCCTAAAACGGTGGCGGGGTGCCAGTGTATGTACGCATATTGAACTTCTTTCGCACCATACATAGCCAACCGTGCTACTCAGAGGTGCAGGGGAAGGACAAATAACTCAACACAAAGCGGTTCTTCAGCAGTGAATTTTCAATTTAGATTAAACAATATTGATCAACGGAGGCATCCTACCATGTGACCTCTGCTGCTATGGTCGCTTTTCTCTTTTCACATGCGTTTAGGCAGAGGGGGGCTACGCTCTGAAGCTTAAATATATATGGTTATTAAAATCTTGATTTAATTTAATTATATTTTGCACATAATGCAGTCTTGAGAGTTTAATGGCACACAATGGTAGAAAAATATTCTGCATTGTGTTCACGATAATAATTTTGTTTCCTTTTTAGGACTGGTCTTTTGACGATGGGGCACCACCATCGAACAAGATTGTTGATGATTGGCTGAACCTGTGCAAGACCAAGTTCCGTGACGAGCCTGACTGTTGCATTGGTGTTCACTGCGTTGCTGGCCTTGGGAGGTAAGGGCCTTTCGCATTGGTCATGGCTAGTTTGTAAATAAAGTCAATATAGTAACCAGGCTACATAGTGGCTTGTGCTGATATCAACATTGGCTTCCTGTTGTGCAGTTTGGCAACAGTGTCACAAAGCACACTGAAGGCATAAAGGTTACATTTGCCAATTGCCTGGTGCTAAATTGTTTCCTGAATGTTTTCCCTGGATCTAAGTGCCACAGGTACTATTTGCTTTTTGGGATGGTAAGTGTACACATTATTATTGTTTGATGCACAGCATGGGCTGTTGTGTGTGTGCAATGTTTCGCTTACAGTATGGGAATTCAGATGATAGTAAATGTGTTCTTTACAGGGACCCAGTTTTAATTATTAGCCATTCACATCATTGCCAGTTGGGTTTTTTGTTTAAAATGGGCAAGGTGTAGAGAACAATGATAAAGTGAGTACTGACTGTGTGTACACCTGCTGTGTCCCCATCACTAGCTTGTGGGCCATGCAGGCCCAATAGCTAATGGCTGACCATGTTTTGCTTCCTAAGATGGTGAGGGTGGTATTTCTGCATTCGAATCACGGCGTATCAATAGCATCCATCGTGCTTTGAACACTTATAATCAAGGCACGCGATTGAATGTGTATCACCTCTCAATGACGGCTGCTCACTTCAGTGAGACATGATCGTCAACAAACCCTTCGCAGGCAAGAAATGTGATTGCTATTGGAGCGAGCACTCATCAACCCAACAAAAAACCGTGTTGGCCCAAACCCTTGATGAAGATGACAGACGTACACAAACACATTAACCAGCTTAAAATTTACATGTGACTACTTTAAAGCCAACTTCTAAGGCATGCAGTGATTCCTGTGGATGATAGGTTGTGTGCTTTGTCTGATAAAGCAGACTGCCTGAAAACACAAGCATCTTGCTTTGAGAGGTGTTGTATATGAGAGCTGAGCAGAGAGCTGCGAAATTAGAAACCACATAACAGCTGCAATTCTAGAGTGGCTAAACTTGACCGGTGTTCACCGCAAGTGGAGAAAGACTCGTGGTTTTAACCCCACCCTCTTCAGTTCTACGTGGATATGTTGGGAGACTTAACATTTTAATTTTTCCATAATCCTTGCTTTGAATGGCAGTTCTTCATATTCAGAACTTGTGTGGAGTGGTCGCCAAACGGTTATTCGCGTGCTATAATTGCTGTGATCCCTGATTAGTCCCCGGTAATGGCTAGCATCAGTGTAGAGTAATATCTAAACCAATCCTGTTGAAGTATAGTCAGACAACCTCTATCTAAAGAACTGTAAATTATTAAGATACATTGTGAGTACCACGTTTTTTTATTATTATTTTTGTTTCAGAAATTACTATACTTTAAAAATAGGTGTAAATTATTTGTAACAGTCAATATGTGCCACCTGGGCTTGTTTGAGAGATGCGTACGCATATTTGTAGTGTTTTGCAAAGAGGAGGGGAAATCTGAACTAGTTGATCAGGATTTTAATCTCTCGTGCAACTGCTTTATCTTATAAGTATAACCCGTAAAAACTAAGTTTTTCACTATAAATCCTTTATATGCGTGGCAGCGAACTTAATATAAAGGATTTAAAAATATATTCGCCTGTGGAGGACGCGGGGATCGATCCCGCGACCTTTGGCATGGGAAGCGAGGGCGCTACCAACTGCGCTACTCCGCCACGGCCTGTGGAGGGGTTACGCTCTGGGCTCTTACACTCTGACGTTCAGCCAAAGCCAAGAATGAGTTCTATTTGAATATATGTAAAATACATTTTTTTTGCCTAAAAAGTGTAAAATTTTGGGAATTTTTTTCACGAACATTAATTGTCTGGCACAACGAGTCTGTGTGGAAAATGTCAGCTCGATTGGATCACGGGAAGTGGGTTAAAAAACGACCGAAAGATTTGCACGGTCGTAAGCAAGCAAGCAAGCACGCAAGCGAACTTAATATAAAGGATTTAAAAATGAATAAAGCTTCCCTCGAAGAGCATGTATTCTTCCTCACATTCTTATTGACCGTAGAATAATACTTCCCGCACTGATCACAGATGACTAATGGAAATAACGATCGACTACCTTGGAAATGGAAAATCATTTGTTAAGTTCCCATTTAACGGGTCATGTGTCAGAGCGTTGGACTTAGATGACACACTCTTTCAGTATTCACTGCCATTTGTTTTTAAACTGTCCCCTGCTAGTCTCATAATGCATACATATAATCATACTGTGCATTGTTCACTGTAATGGGTGATAAATAGTGTTTAATGGACGCATTTGTTTTGCAAGTTTCTTTGAGACCACAATGCTTAGCATGCATAGGTCATTGTGTTTTCCCGTTATGGTCACGTTGACCTGAAAAAGCTTTTTCCCAGAAAGTACCACAGAGGCTCCTCCTGAACTTGTATGTTGCACTTGTAATAGCCACGTAACACATTTATATCGTTTAATGGTTACCTTGTGTATACAATTGCCTACTGCTGGACTTTGATAAATGTGCCCTGCTTTACTGTAATCATACAATACAACTTGCATCTCAAGAAATTGGGCATATTTGTTTCAAAGTGGCAGTTTTGTCATTGGCAGAAGAAAAAAGTAAGTCGTTCAAGCCTGGATTTGAATCGAGTCAGGGAGCCATAGGCATGGGAAACTGTGGAGGGAAGGGAGTTCCAGATGATATGGGCAGCAGAGGGGAAAGAATGAACTCTGACTGAGCTAAGATTGACTAGTTTGACAGAAATCTTATTTTCTGGAGCGTGTAGAGCACATGGAGTGAAATAAACGAGAGATAAGCAGAGGGGCCAGTCCATGGAGGATTTGATAATTGAGTGCGATCTTGAAATGGATCTGAGGTTGGATTGAGAGCCATTAGAGGATTGGGGTTATGCTTTTCTTATTAACGGGTAAAGGTAAGCAGTCTGGCTGCTGCATTTGCATCATCTGAAGTTTGGAGGCGAGGGATTGTGGCAGGTTGTAGGAGAGATTTGCAAGAGTCTAGTTGGGATTGTTTGAGTATCATCGGAAGCTGGGGTAAGGAAAATGGCATATGAGGTCTTGCAGAGTTTCAATGTGGGAAAAGAATGAGAGCTCTGGATCACTGACAACTCTTAAGGTTGTGTACACTCTTTGCCAGTGTATATACAAACAGGTACTAGACCATGCATACGTTGGTAAAATATTTTTGTTAAAATATATTATACTTTCTTTGAGTTATGAGTTTTCCTCTGGAAATTTTTACAATTTTGAGTTTCTGCAGCTGGCAATGGAAATTAATACTGTTGCATGCTTTATATGACTTTGAAACGTTCAGGAACCCCCAGAAATACTGCCACATGGCAAAGTACACCTGCTATTTTGAGGGATACCCCAAAAGTCATGCATCCTGCTTTTTCTTGATTGTTATCATAATGCCACATCTTTCACACCTTATTCGCATAGATAACATTCAATCTCATGGGCTTGTATGAGATCAGATAATTTCTCAGCAAACACGACAATTCCAACAGGCCCTGGAACATATTGGGTGGACTGTTCCTACTACTACCAGCACTGATCTTAAGATTTTAATCTCTTCAGCCCATGGAAGAATGTCTTACATGAGAAACGTTTTCAACCGAGTGCTTTACAAGATGCTGTTAATATATTTATGTGGTACCAATGAATCGTTTTACTGGGATTTAATTGTAGCCCTGCTTCAAAGTCGGTACTATTGCTTAAACTTGGATGGGGATTATAGTAAGAAATAGGAAAATGTTTGACTTTCCAAATATATCTAAAATATGGTGTTCGTTTAATAAAAGAGAGAAAATTAGGCATTATTTTGGAGATCCTTAATGATATCTATCAAATTTTTTTTACACACACTGCCATCCACCAAATGATGACATTTACGCTTCTGATGGACAAACATGCCAGCGTACCAATTCAATTACAAGCAGATCACCCCACACCCTATGTGACTGCACAAAGCACCCTGATGAAAGCCTAGCAACGCAGTGTCATGGCACTCGTTGGAATGCACAGGGATCCCATTTAATTTGACCCTGAAAATTGGCAAAGGGAGTTTGTGACTGCCAACTTGTAATGCGATTATTCATGAACTGTGAGTCTACGTTTAGCTTGGTAGTTAGTATGATTACAAGAATAGTACATATAGTTTTAAAATATCCACTGCTCTTCACATGTCTAAAGGGCAACATATACTGCACATACGTGTTTTATAATGTAGCATATATGATGGTAACTGAATTTGGCAACATTTTTACATTTGAACATTCCTTTCCAAGCATCTTGATTATTTTATTTTTGGCAATTAAAAGAATTACAGTCGCTTAAAATGCATTTTCGCCTGTCATTTCAACTTCATCATGTCAAGTCAGCATGTCGCCCTGCATAAATTAATTTGGAGTGGCGCACTCACTTTTGTCGGTGGTCTTGAGCCAGTAATGGCAATTCAACATTATCATAGCTAGGGGCCAGTCACTCCGTAGGACAACCATTGTTGACTTTCCATGAAGTGGTAATAATATGATTAACCCCGGAGGGATTATCCTAGGCGTCTGCTGCTTACCACTACTTGATGTTTTACACCTTTCTGATTTGTAAGTTGAGCGGTACAATCACGGCATCATCTGGTCCAATTTTTGGGAATGTTGCAATGAAAATGGGGCTTAAAGTTACTCATTTTCTATTTCTCCATTTGATATAAATATACTGCCACCCTGCTGATGACTCAGGTATCAAACCAATCGAGGTTTTGCTTTGTCTAAAGAAATCCTGCTGTAAAACTTTGGTTCGGAAGGCTCATTGGTCATTGAATTTAAGTACGAAATCGATGACGTATCTTTGCAATGAAACAAATATCTTCCCTGCTATTACCCACTTAGAGACATTCCATATTTATTTATGCATAAACACTTGCTTTGATGCTTCATCATTTGAAAGAGTGAGCCCTTCATATTCATACCAGGTGAACCCAATAGGTTTGAACTAATATCACTAATTAATATCCCACAAAGAACACTCATGAATCATCCATGTTGATTTGTATTCTGTGGTGCATACCTTTTTTAAAAGCGTCAGATTGAAAATTTGTCCAAACATGCATCAGGCATTGCTTGTATTTATAACACTTTATTATTATTATTTCGAGATTGCATCTGCCAACAAGCCTCGTCTTGATGTTTTAACAAGCCTTGGCCCCTTGGACTGTGGGAAATGGTTTGAGGCAATTCTTCTGACATCAAATATGCGCTCAGAATGTTTTGATGTACACCTGGATCGTCTCTAGCTTTTGACTGGCTTGTGATAGATTCAGATGTACCCCATGTGATTGTGTGAAACTTAGTTTAACCTGAATATGGGCACAAGAGCACAATGTCGTATCTTTAAAGGTCATGGTTTTATGTTTCGGGGGCAAAAAGAGGTTAAGATACAAATGTGTGGTCTTCCTAATTTGTATTAATCCACATGTAATGCATTTTTATTTTTTACACATTGGATTCCCACAAGTGTTGTTTCAATAGCAGCATTTTTAAAATGTAACTTTATTTTGTTTAACATAGCAAAACACTTAGACAGCTGTACACAAGCATGAACCAAATGAAAGTGGTGAAGGTTGTGAAGTATTTTTTAAATGAAGTTTAATCGAAGCATTACATATTATTCGTTTTATCAAGAAATACATTTCTGTGAATGTAAGTTCCTGTGAATGTGCATGCACTTGCTTTTCGCTGGCTTGAGGCCAATTGCTGTATACCGGCATAAAAACTGCATTCCCCATCTCCCCAGCTGGGAAAGTTTTGCTCCAACTCGCCCCAACTTGGTCACCGCTCAGTCCTTACAATGCATAAATACTCATCAACACTCCATTTCATTAACCAGTTTAAATTGATTTAGCAGTTTTTATATTCAGACGCTCCGGCGAGATGTGAAACTGGCCTGCGGTGTGTGCATGTTATTTAGTGTCTTGGTAAAACTATCGCTTTCTTACCATGAGATGTCCTGAGGGAATGAACCTCGTCGTTTGATAGATAAAAAGAAAGAAAAAAATGGTGATAGGTAGTGTTCAGTGGCATTGGCTGTGAAGATTTTGCCCTTGTGATAACCCTGTGCACAGACCTTTTTTCTGAATTGTGGTTTGACACTTTCAATGTCGTTGGTTGCTCAGGGCTCCTGTGCTCGTGGCCCTTGCCCTCATCGAGAGTGGGATGAAGTATGAGGATGCGGTGCAGTTCATCAGACAGTGAGTATCCTTCCCCACGAAACCCCGCTTACTCCCCATATCGACGTTCCTATTAATTATTTTCTCATTTTCCTGGGCGGGTGACGCTGTGACAAACAAAGGACTCGATTCACAATTGGAATGCCCACGAGTTCAAATTCCGGTCAGGGTTGATTCAGTCCATCCCGCCTCTGGGGTCGGTAAATGAGGTACCATGCTGTGAGAAGTCAACAGTGGTCATCCAGTCGTGAAGACTGGGCCCATCATGGTAATGAGGGGTTTCCACGCCTGCCTCGGCTGCCATTGGATATGAACACCACCCAACGCTCTTATGAATGAGCATGGAGAGACTTTGACTTTTTGTTTTAGGATTATAGCATCGATTGTTTATGCACAAGCAATGTGTAATGCTTTATTCAGTCTCCTGTTCTATGCAATGCTGAAAGATACAACTCAAAATAATCAAATTGTTATTTTAGGTAAATCATTAGACTGTTGTGTTCCAGGCAGTTTGAAGCATAAAAAGTTTTTGAATCACAGTACGGTGTTCTGTTATGTATGTTGGTTTTATCTGTCGGTATGATGACGATTCTGAATGGACTGATCTCTTGATTCCACATTGTGCCTTGCGTCACTCCCACTTTATGTGATGCTCGGTTCTAGTGCTGCAGTCGCATCGTGGTGTAGATTTTGAAACGAAGCGTCGGAGTGACACTGCCGTAACGTCACCCGTGGTATTATTGTGAGCCCGGCCGAAAGTTAAAACCTGGACATAGAGCCTGGATATGTTTCTACAAGATAAATTATATGTATGTGTAGGTTTGTGCCTTTTAATGCTGTTATTCATGGCGATGAGCCAACAGATTAAGTGCTATTTGTCAGCAAGTAAAGCCGGCTGGTTTGAACCCTTATCTTTTGTATGTACAGTTGTAATTAATCACCGTGTTGATCACATTAAATGATTATTTGTGATGTGGCTGGTACACGTAATTAATTAATCATCATTTTTCTGTTCTGTTAAACCTAGAAGCCGATGAACTATCGTTCTTTAGACTTGTAAAAATAATCTTAAAACGAGAGGTGCACATGAGTACATTTTGTATGAGTTGAAGTCAAATGAGAGGATTTGTGTAGGAATTGAAGGTTTTTTTGTAGATGCACTAGAACAAGAAGTACCTGAATAGATAGGCCATCGAAATCACACAAAGGATCCGGTCTCGTTGCAATTGAATAAGGGCTGTTTTGATGTTCATTGAACTCATTCATGTTGGTGTAATTTTCTCAGGGGCACATACTGTGCTTTTGGTTACTCCACACCCATGTGAAACAAGATTCATTGCTGTAAAAGGCTTGAACCACCACCTGTGGCGTTGCGTTGTCTAGTTTGTATGAAGGTACACAGGAAGTATAACATATCCTTTTTCCCCACAGCAGTAAGCCTTTTACTAGATGTGTTAAATAATGGATAATTGTTTTAACCTGCTCGAGTAGCTCGTTATACATGCTCGTGGCAATTGTTGTTTATGGACTTTTGTCAGTGTAAGAGTAGCGTGAATGCATCGTGTATCTCGTGTGGCGCAATGGTGAAACAGTTTGCAGTTGAAAGGGTGTAAGTTGAAATCCTAGTTGGGGTCGAGGGCTATGATTAATTTAGGGTCGATAAAATGTATACCATTATATTGGAAGGGACCAGTACATGAGAGCATTTACCCTTGCTATAGGAATGTGGAATATCCATCGCTGGGGCTCAAGGCCACCAATGGAGATGAGCACTACCACCCTACATGTACTGGTTTTGACAAGGAGACACTAACAAGGCAGCTGCAGGAAGGCTTGGGACATCTCTCTTGGGGTCTTGAATGAGTTGCTTTAGTTTGGCTGATTCAGGATGAATGCCTTTTGCGAGGGTTTGGAAGGGCTTACCAGACATGGCATGTGCAACTTGATGTCAGTTATTTAATTGCTTATTTACACATTAACTGCTTGGGGGCTCTTAACTGGATGGTTGTTTTTTTTGCCTTCGATTTAATTTAAAACTTATTTTGGGGGTAGGACTGTGGTTGCAGACGAGAAACATAAATGTACGTGTATGTAGCCAGTGTCTTTTTATAGCCAGACCCAAAGTTAGTAGTTTCCCCTTCGGGGTGAGACAAACGCTCAGTGTGCGTTTTAATACAATTCTACCTTGTAGCTTCTAAATTATAACTTCCTCCTCTATCTTTGCCATTTACGTGACAACCTTTTCGCTGCTGGCGGTTGCAGTAGGCAGTCGTACCTGTTTTTATTGCACAATTTGGAAATGTCAAAAAAAAAACTGCTGTGTACTGCATAATTAAGTGTAGGTAAAGGATATTTCCCATACGTACAGCACCTTATTGTGCTGTTAATATTATGGCTACGCAGCCTGCATGTGTCATCCATTTTTGCAACAATACTTAAGCTGTACCGAAGTAAAGTATACCAACCGATTCCAGTGAACTTAAATAAAGCATTAATGGGGCTGTTGTGGTTATCGTAAGATAGTCTAATCGCTCTTTGAGTTTCTCTATTGGTGAGCAGTTTGCAATTGGTGGATCAAGGTCAGCGAGTCGGTGTATGCGACTTAGGCTTTTTTTATTTTCAGTCAAGCCTGACTAACACCGTTTAATTGAAAATCAAGTTGCGTAAACAATGAACTGCTCTGCCTTAACAGCAGCTAATGTTGGCAATAAAGCATGCTTAGCCTGTAACCCAACTGCTTGAGTGGCAGCGCAGGGGACAGCATTGCGTGCCTGCCTTCAAATAATCAACATGTCAGCATTAGCTACGCACAACTGTAGCTCTTCACACTTGATGAAGATGGGTTTCTATTAGCAATAATGCCTTAAAATTTAGTCAAGGGGCACCTCTTTTGGTGTTCCTGCGTGAGTTGTAGAAACTCCATATTTCTATGGTGCAGATCTAATTATCTACAGGACCCAACCATTGGTGACTTCCCACAGATTCGTTTTTTTATCACCTGTGAAGACATGACGAGCTAAGAGTTTATATCCCCAAGTGGGATGTGGACTTTCTTAGTACCTTCTGATAGTGAATCTAACTGTCATGCATAACTCTGTCCTCTACTGTTTGTATAATTCCACTGTAGGTCGGGGTGGAAAGATAACATGCATTTGTCAATTAATATTAATATCGTTTTAAGCTAACAATATGGGCATTGCACATATAGTTGTACGTAATCCATTGCGGCAACTGGAGTTGCTACCATTTGACACAATTTTAAAGTGAATTGTTTCTTGCAAATAATTGAGTCCCTGAAATCAGAATTAATCTATTTTATAATGATTCATTTCACCGTTAATATCTGTTAACTAAGGAGAAAGGCTCACCGAGTCTCACTGCTTTTTTAAGGAGGGTTCCTGTTTTGGGATATTTGGAAATGAAATGAAAGCGGTGGCTGAAGATTAGCATCCATGAGAGAGATCACCTGCCCAATGGGGATCACAGCTTGGTGGGCAACTAACAATGCGATGTCCTTGTGCACCTCTGTCTCCTAGGAAACGCCGCGGAGCCATTAACAGCAAGCAGCTGATCTATCTGGAGAAGTACCGACCCAAGATGAAACTGCGCTTCAAGGAAACAAATGGCCACAAGAACAACTGCTGCATCCAGTAAAACGAAGCCTCTTGGCCGAGGGACCTGTTTTGGATGAAGAGAAACCAATTCCGCGCATCTTTTACTCGGGGACAGGTTAACTTGGACTGCTTAGGACCACCTATTCCACCGCTGGCACCATGAGCCCCCCCCCCCACGCTCAATGCCGAAGTTTCCAACACACACTCTGGTTGTTATGGAGGCTGAGAATGGGAAGGAGTATTTTCCATCTCGTTCTCCCAGTGGCTTCGCTCGGGGGTTGTTAGTGGTGGCTTAAGCTCACCGTCAAATGGCCTTTTCTTTTTTCCTCCACCCCCCCAATCGATGTCGGTGGTCCGTTTTACTTGTCGGTTTGCAAGTTGATAATTACATTTTAACTGAATACCAAACAGTCCGAATGCGATTTAAGCCAATTGCTTGGTATAGCCCACATAATTGTGTTTGATTAAATACCTACACAATTAACTTGACATTCAGATTTCGATACCTCATATTCCACATCAAATGAAGCCCTTGGTGTTAACCTGTCCCTTGAGTGCAATTGAACTGATTTGTTTTACACGTAGACTGTCCAGCTGAAGAAATCCTGTGATTAATATTGATTTCGTCGCCAATATGTATTCGTTTAGATATCACCAATGAATGCGTTTTTCGGTCTCCATAGCGGTGTGCTTGGCCCATCTGGGATTGTGGCCAATAGCAATTTACGCTCTAAATTATCTGCATGCCGCAGACATTGATGGCTAGTTATGGGGATTCTATAGCCCCGCTCCAAAATGTTCCAGGGTATTTTCAGCTGGGAAATCCAAGGGGAGTTTTCATTTCCACAGTTTATTGCAAACGAAATCAAAGCTGTAGACTTGAAAGCACATTGTTTCAGTAAATTTTTATTGCCTTAACCTCCTTTGCTCTTCGCCTGTGAATAACATAAGCAGATGTGGGGAACGAAATAGAACTCCCCATGGCTGAGGCATGGGGGTCTGTGATTCAAAAATGCACATTTAAAGCTATGCTAACCATTTACTTGCATTAATTTATTTAACGTTACCTTAATTAATCAGAGTGGTTATATATATTGGCTTTTAAATGTGCATCAAAGCGAACACTTTTAGTTGATTTTAGGCTATATGTAGCTTACGCCATCTAGCTTTGATAATACAGTGGTTTCTGCCATTGTGGCTTAAAGCTTCTCTTTATGGCATGCAAGTGTGTGCTGAGAGTCCATTATGGTTTGATTCACGGTTTAAAATGTCACGCGTGGGTCTTTGTCTATTGCTTGCGTTGCATAAGACCATGTGACTGGCAGAGATAGGAAATGCACACGTCACATGCACCGAGGGAATGGTGCATTTCTGTGTGTCTGCTGAAAGAAAGGTTTTCTTTTGGTCGTACTTCATAGTGCCATTGTTTCATCTTGGTATGGTTGTGTCAATGATTTTTGCAGTAATGATTTTGGACATGAAACAAACGGCCTTAGATACTAAGCAAAACCTTGGCCACTGCAATCTCTACAATTATAACTATAAACTACAAATATGGCCTCTGTTACTTCAGCCAAGTGTAGAAACTGGTTTCATAGCAGTGCGTATGAAGCGGGAATGTTCGATTTAATTTTGCGCATGGGGCATATGAGTACTGAACAGCTATGAAACTAAGTGCAGAAGATCATATTTAAATACGAACAATATCGGAGAGAATTACGTTTGATATGTCCTACACAATGGGATTCATTTTTTTTAACCGATTTTTTTAAATTTACAAAATGATGCGAAACATTATTTTCTGCTGCGTTGCCAGTGGTGCACAAAGCATCAATAACAAACAACAAAAAGACAACACTTTCGTCCATAACACTGCCTTTAAGGGGAAAATATATAGCAGGCAACGTTTCGGGCAATGGGTCTTCTCATATACTCTGAAGGGCCATTGCCTGAAATGTGACCTATGTTATACATACATTCCTCCCGAAACAGTGTTATTGATGAATGTGTTGTAGTGTTGTGATGCTGAAGTCTATTTTTGGGCAAAAACTACATCTCTGGCAGTTCAAACACTGAAGATGTTCAAACTTTTTCCCGCCACCAAATAACTTATTTTGGATTATAAGTAATGTTTTTATTTAAGACACCAGCATGATAAATCTAGGCCGCTTAAGTTCAGTTTTAGCCTTTTTGTATGTTGATGCGGGAAACGGATGCAAATATGCTGCTTCCTCTTGTCTGCCGTCTCAACCCATGTAAGAGTACGAACCGGTTATCAGCAAGCGTACAGCTTTAATGTAACTATGCGGTGGAGAAGCCAGCCGTTTGGGGCTGTACCCGGTTCTGATGTATTCAGAATTTGTTTTTGAACTTTTTTCTTGTTAACAGCGTTGGAAGTGTCACAGTCAAACAAAAAAATATTTCTGTATACGGATTACTCATTGTCACGGGTCGTGTGCAGGTAACCCCTTGTTTGGTATAATTAAACATTTGATTGCTTGAATACCTAATGCAACGTATTCACCTAATTAGATCTATTTGACTAAGGAAGCAAAGTCACTAAGTCCTCGGTTTTGTTGTATGATATGTTTACATTTGATGTCAGTCGTTGCTTAAAACCAAGCTGCTGACACAATCATTTCCCCGATATTGCATTTTAAGCCCTTTTTCAAATGCTTTACAATGAAAGCAATCAAGAGTAAATAATCCACTGGTGCATGTTGAGCGAATTATTTTCACCGCTGAAAATTGAGTGATAGGGGATTACCCGCTTGGGTTAGGGTTAACACGAACCCGACGCCTTTTATTAATCTAAGTACAGTAACATTTAACTTGTGAGTGACCCTTCAACACTGGCTGTCAACAGATTGTACTTTTTGTTTGTGGCCACTTAGCATGCGTTTTAAGAAATGTCTATCGCTGAACACACGAGGTACTTGCCCCCATTTTTAATACATAACAGTTGCTGTGATCACGATGCCGTGAGCACTCTTGTGCAAGTTGAAACCTCGATATGGTACTGCAGACCAATTTCAGCAACCCCCACAGACAATCGTCTTGAGGTGGCAAAGCCTTATTAATTAATGTTACTGCGCTGTGAGGTAGCGTTTTGAGTACCGTAGCAGTAATACAGTGGGTAGGTGTGGTTCAGTTTTTTCGTCATTGTGTATTCCTAAGCAAAAAGGGTTGTTTAATGTCTGAAATGGTTGTGCACCTGAATTTAATAGGGGGTCATGGTTTAAAGTAACTTAGTGTATGCCTGCTTTATAACAAATTGTTTTGTAACTAGACTATTACTTTGACGTTTTGATGCAACAGTGTTTCTGTATTTTATTACGTATTTTTGGTAATAAGTAAATAATACAAGTGTACCTTCTTTGTCATTGCAGGTAAAAAAAAATATTTTGTACAAGAACTTAATAACTTTAAGGCAGTGCTTTTCTAATCAGCCAAACTTTTTTTGCCGACGGACCTGCAGCCTTACACTGTTTAGAAACCAAAATGTTTTTGAGTGAAAATGAACTGGGAATGGTTTTGAGCGGCACATACTTCCAGTTCTGTCTACATTCGAACGACATTGTTGAGTGCAACTCTGGTCTGTGTCCTTAAAGTTGTCGGCTTTTCCCATTTTAAGAACAATGTGAGTGGCAACTGCGCTATCAGAATAAGTGTCAGAATTCATCTGTAACAGGTCAACAAGCCTGTGAAATACAATAAATGTTTTAAATATCAATTCACAAAGATGTGCATGTGCTTAAAAACTTTCAAGGAATTATATCAATATACATCTCAACTAGTTTTTGTTGTGGTAACGTATGGTGTTATGGTTATTAGTCCAAGTTGCTGATCTGCTGTCATCTGCATTGTCCTTTCCTCATAGTCTACCAATGGAATTCACATTTAATGTTGGCACTTTGCATGTATGCAAGTGGATAGTACATTTTTGTTGAGCGAAAGGTCACAAGAGTGCAGTTTTAGCACAGGCATGCCAGGGTCATGTTAGCATGTGCTACCTGAACTATGCTGCCACATTCTTTTAGTGTCCAGTCTATCCCAGAGTATGGATGCATGCGGGTTTGGTTGTTCAGAGCCACTGACTTGCATTGCATCCAATAGCTACTGTGCTTGCTTTGTTTTAAATCACATTCTGGGGTTAATGCCACTGAAAGAATGTGGTCATACGATACTGTCAGCAATGTTCCACTTTTGATTTAAAGCTTTTGTGACTGCAGGGATTCATATTATTGGTTCTTTCGGTAAAGTCACGTAGAAGGGCGATAATGAAATAATATAAATATAAAACAAAAATTATCACGACGTTTCGACTGCAACACAAGCAATCATCATCAGGTGTGATCAGATGTGATGATGATTGCTTGTGTTGCAGTCGAAACGTCGTGAGAATTGTTATTGTTTTATATTTCATATTAGTTTATTATCTCCCTTCTACGTGACTTTACCGAAAGAACCAAGAATATAATGTTCCACTTGTTCTGCTCATGTCAGGAAACATGGAAAATATACATTTATTTTGTGGTTCTGCATATTTAGTATGGTGTGTGAATATACGCCACATGTCAACATGCCCGTTCACTGCAGAATGTTTTATTTTTTCAACCGGGTATCATTTGTTGTTAATATCCCAGTTCAGTTTCCCCAGGATCCACATGCATTAATAATAGCTGTTCCATTTCATTTCTGACCAATTTGTAAATTACAAGAAAACGTTCAACTGCCACAAGTGGGGTGGGTATTTTGGTCTTTTTTTTAAGGAAGTATGCTTTTGCTTGCCACAACAATTACAAATAATTAATTGTGTATCCATTTAGTTCAAAACCAAAACTTTTAATTAGTGCATACTAAATAAATTGTGACGTACTGTAATTTTAGGAAAGATTTACACATTGAAGCCAATCTTTAAATAACTCAATTAAAATTGATATAATGTCCTGTAACAGAATCGTGGAAGAATTTGTAAAGCAAATATTGCATCTGGAAAATAAACAATGGAAACATTTAACGCTTTTTGCTTGGATGTTTTGACGTGTTCCTGTTATGGTGAAAAGCTAATTTTGAGAATATGATTAAATTGCTGTTGGGGTCATTGGAGAAATATATTTTCTTTTATCAGCACTTGAACTATATTGTATGTATGTTGAACTTCTTTCGCACCGTACGTAGCCAACCGTGCTAATCGGAGGTGCAGGGGAAGGACAACAAAGTAAAAAAAGCAGTTCTAAAGAAATGCGCATTCCTGCAGCCATATATTTTTGTTGGCTTATTGGGATTGCTTTATTCCCCAGGTCAAGTAATAGAACAGAGGTTCCACATCACAAGCTAAATGCTGTTATGATTCTTGTCGCATTGGATGTCTTTTTGCATCCACTGTATTCTTAAAAGGTTAAAGTACATGCCACATCAGGGTTGCATTGGACATTGTGCAATATCTTAATACAAACATTTTAACTCTACAAACTTAGTCGGGATTTACAAAAATAGCCACGGGCAATTTAAGTGACCAGCCGTTACTATACTTAGGTTGCTGTCATCTGTACATTTCAACACATGACACGGGGGTTAAATAATATTACCGATATAGTTAACACGAGGCTGCAGTTGGGCAGGTGCGCGACCATTTAAAGGTTGTTTACATCGGATTTGCAGACCACGTGTTTGAGTAATTTGGTGATGACTTCAGCCAACTGCTTTAATTCGATGGTTGCCATTAGTGGTGTTTTGAGCGTGGTGTAAGCTCTTTTTGTTTAGCCAGCAATGTAACTTCAGGCGGGCATTGAGTGCCTGCCAGCCAGGGCAAACGATCTTGGCTTATCGTACAAAGTGGACAAGCAGACGTCCATTGTCCAGATGGTTGATTCAGAGAGTCGTGTTTCCATGTGCCTTACGTCAAGACAGGCGGTAACTTGTGTGATATTGCTAGATTCCATTGGGGTTCTGGAAACAACTTTTTGGCTTTAGACATGGTAGGATATTGGGTACCCAAGAGGGTAGCTGCCGTGTTCCATGTGCACAATTCAGCTGCACAACAGACACACATTGGTTTAGCGGTTATACGTGGGGGCTACATATTTGATGTTCCATATTTAGTATTGTTTGGAGTCCGCAGCCCAAAACAATTTGACTTTGTGGCTGTAAATGTATTTTATTTTTAGTGTATAGGTGGCTCAAAATACGGTCCAGTAAAATATATCTCGCGACTTGAGTTTTATTCCCGGTCACGATTTAGTTCAGTGGCGGTCGACATCAGAATCAGTGACGTGATCGTACCAAGCTGCCCAGCGTGGTGACGAATGGTCGAACAACATCCACAACCAACACAGCATGGCGATGCTTCCTCGAGCAATGGATTAACAGGACTGAAAAAATGCGTTATTTATAATGTACATTATATGGGTTGTCCATTGAAATGCTATTTACTAAGTGAAACCAATTATGTTAAATACGTCCAAACAATTCACACGTGACTACTGTATTTGTATACATTTATTGTGTCGTATAGTGATATGCCTTTTTTTCCTCAACATGCTTTTTAACTGCAGCTATTAGAAGTGTGCGCATGTGAGCTGGATTGACGTTACAACTGAAAAGGACACCACAATAATTATAGATTTTTGGATGAAAGCTACGTAATTACCTAACCAAATATGTGTCGATAATAATTGCAATTTGAAACGCACCACAATATATGCTCGTTCTTGAAGAGAGAACGACTCAGAGCTGCGAAGAACTACTGATTAGTCGGGAAAGGCGAGTAGGCGGTGAGCCAGTGCCAAATTCCCCCACCCCAAGCTCTGCGATCCTCTATTTAGGTGACAAGATGTTAACTATCTCGCCTGGTATTTACGTGTCGAGACGTGCATTTTGAGCAATTGGCTGTTTACATTTCCACGTGATAAGCCACTTCGTTGAGCTCTCATTTGTGGCCAGGTCGCTTCTCAAAATAGCGAGATAGCTCAGTGGACCTTACCTGGTGAATAAAAAATGTGTTGTCAACCGATGAATAAGTGTTTATACATATGCGAGGACGATAGTGCACCCAGAGAAAACCCACACAGATGGAATAGATGGGATTCCGCATTTGCAAAATGCCACGTTTTCCAGGCAAGCCAGAGCATTGGCATCTCAACGTCCACGGGAAGGGAGTTTCACAACCCTCGTCTCCACCATGGTGGACTCCAGGCGGACGGAGCTTCAATCGCCCAGCAGCGACTCTTCCCCAACACCCAACAGAGCCAACCGAGTGAAATCGTCACGCGTCCAAGCGTTGAATGCGCCAACTATGATTGTGTTTCACCGCACCGGTATGTTGGATAAAAGCAATGATCACAACTACATTCAGCGATTAGATGTGCGAAAATTCAACTCGAGCTCCGTCAAGCGTCATATTGGACGATTTTTGACCCTTCTCCCAGTTACACGGCGTCACAAAGTCAGACCCCCCCCCCCTTCAAATATGACGTCACAAAGCTCTGCCCCCCCCAAAAAAAATCAAACATGCTTCAAATCGCTTTAAACTATTGTCATTATAGTGCATATTTAATTTGGCGCTGCACTCTGATGTCGGATAAAACATTCATTAAAAAGTCGATTTCATTAAGTCGAACGTGTTTATATGTATCTGAAGTTCCGCATTTTGATGTGACGTCACAATCCACAAACCCCTTCCCCATTGTCACACATCGTCACAAATGTCTGACCCCCCCCCCCCCCTAGGTGCGTGACGTCATTTATGGACGGCCCTCAGGACAAGATCCAGAAAGTCAGCAAAAAAATCCAGCAAGTCAGAATAATATTGGCTGTGAAAATCCGACGTGTTGAGCACACCAACATTTGTGACGGATTTATTTGAGTGAGTTTATTGAGTGGGGCTTTACAATTCGACGTCGCATCAGCTTCCGGTTAAAGTAAAATGGCAATGTCTCCCTGCTCAAAATCAGAATATTTATACTGGAGGAATCCGATGTGCATCGAGCAGTGTTCATTGACTTTGCTGGTCTAATTACGAGTAGCAGCATTTGACATTTGAAAAGCGCTGTGCACGAGCAATCCCCTCTTGAAGCACTGCTTTTTTTTTGCAGGTAGATTGACTTCTTCCAACAATCGACAAATGAACCTTATGGCGGGACACCGGGGTCCCATAAGGGGCCATCCATTTAGTGCGTACGCATGGGGGGGGGGGGGTAGGGGGGGTTAACTCAAATGCGTGCGCTTGCGTATGGGGGGTCTACTGACAAATGGACGCACGCATAGGAAACGGGGGGTGGGGGGGTGAAGCCTCGATAATAATTTGTCTACATTGGCCTTCAAATGAGTTAGATAGTCCGGCGGTGGACTATCTGTTTGCTAAACACGTTAATATTATTAATCATTGATCGTTTCTACGTGGATTAAATATCGGCCGTTCTGTAGGATTCGGGGGGAGGTGGAGGGTGTAAAAAGTCCGCGTGCGTACAGGGAGGGGGGGGGGTCAAGTTTTGACAGATTTTTGCGTACCTACACAATGGATGGCCCCTAAGCCCCCGGCTCTCGCATAAACTGCGTTGCGACGTCATGTTATGTCTGTTGAAGGCGAACGATAGGGCAATCTATTCCTCTCGACGAGCTCTACACTATGCGCTAATCAAAGTTTCAACGTTTTGTTTGTGACTACGGAAATTTTGGCAACGACGGGTGCTTGGTGAAGAACGAGAGGATTGATTTCTGGTGGGTCGCGGC